TACACTACAAACATGGTGATTCGTTTATACACTACAAACATGGTGATTCGTTTATACACTACAAACATGGTGATTCGTTTATACACTACAAACATGGTGATTCGTTTATACACTACAAACATGGTGATTCGTTTATACACTACAAACATGGTGATTCGTTTATACACTACAAACATGGTGATTCGTTTATACACTACAAACATGGTGATTCGTTTATACACTACAAACATGTTGATTCGTTTATACACTACAAACATGGTGATTCGTTTATACACTACAAACATGGTGATTCGTTTATACACTACAAACATGGTGATTCGTTTATACACTACAAACATGGTGATTCGTTTATACACTACAAACATGGTGATTCGTTTATACACTACAAACATGTTGATTCGTTTATACACTACAAACATGGTGATTCGTTTATACACTACAAACATGTTGATTCGTTTATACACTACAAACATGGTGATTCGTTTATACACTACAAACATGTTGATTCGTTTATACACTACAAACATGGTGATTCGTTTATACACTACAAACATGGTGATTCGTTTATACACTACAAACATGGTGATTCGTTTATACACTACAAACATGGTGATTCGTTTATACACTACAGTTGATTTCGCTTACATGTTGGTGATTCGTTTATACACTACAAACATGGTGATTCGTTTATACACTACAAACATGGTGATTCGTTTATACACTACAAACATGGTGATTCGTTTATACACTACAAACATGGTGATTCGTTTATACACTACAAACATGGTGATTCGTTTATACACTACAAACATGTTGATTCGTTTATACACTACAAACGTCAAGTAAACATGCGTGATTCGTTTATACACTACAAACATGGTGATTCGTTTATACACTACAAACATGGTGATTCGTTTATACACTACAAACATGGTGATTCGTTTATACACTACAAACATGGTGATTCGTTTATACACTACAAACATGTTGATTCGTTTATACACTACAAACATGTTGATTCGTTTATACACTACAAACATGGTGATTCGTTTATACACTACAAACATGGTGATTCGTTTATACACTACAAACATGGTGATTCGTTTATACACTACAAACATGGTGATTCGTTTATACACTACAAACATGGTGATTCGTTTATACACTACAAACATGTTGATTCGTTTATACACTACAAACATGGTGATTCGTTTATACACTACAAACATGGTGATTCGTTTATACACTACAAACATGGTGATTCGTTTATACACTACAAACATGGTGATTCGTTTATACACTACAAACATGGTGATTCGTTTATACACTACAAACATGGTGATTCGTTTATACACTACAAACATGTTGATTCGTTTATACACTACAAACATGGTGATTCGTTTATACACTACAATTCGCTTTATACACTACATGTTGATTCGTTTATACACTACAAACATGGTGATTCGTTTATACACTACAAACATGGTGATTCGTTTATACACTACAAACATGGTGATTCGTTTATACACTACAAACATGGTGAGTCGTTTATACACTACAAACATGGTGATTCGTTTATACACTACAAACATGGTGATTCGTTTATACACTGCAAACATGGTGATTCGTTTATACACTACAAACATGTTGATTCGTTTATACACTACAAACATGTTGATTCGTTTATACACTACAAACATGTTGTTTCGTTTATACACTGCAAACATGGAGATTTGTTCTTACCCTACACACATGTTGATTCGTTTATACACTACAAACATGGTGATTCGTTTATACACTACAAACATGTTGATTCGTTTATACACTACAAACATGGTGATTCGTTTATACACTACAAACATGGTGATTCGTTTATACACTACAAACATGGTGATTCGTTTATACACTACAAACATGATGATTCGTTTATACACTGCAAACATGTTGTTTCGTTTATACACTACACACAAGGTGATTCGTTCTTACCCTACAGACATGTTGTTTCGTTTATACACTACAAACATGTTGATTCGTTTATACACTACAAACATCGTGATTCGTTTATACACTACAAACAGGTTGATTCGTTTATACACTACAAACATGTTGATTCGTTTATACACTACAAACATGGTGATTCGTTTATACACTACAAACATGTTGATTCGTTTATACACTACAAACATGGTGATTCGTTTATACACTACAAACATGGTGATTCGTTTATACACTACAAGCATGTTGATTCCTTTAAACACTACAAGCATGTTGATTCCTTTATACACTACAAACATGGTGAATCGTTTATACACTACAAACATGTTGATTCGTTTATACACTACACACATGTTGATTCGTTTATACGCTACAAAAATGGTGATTCGTTTATACACTACAAACATGTTGATTCGTTTATACACTACAAACATGGTGATTCGTTTATACACTACAAACATGGTGATTCGTTTATACACTACAAACATGGTGATTCGTTTATACACTACAAACATGGTGATTCGTTTATACACTACAAGCATGGTGATTCGTTTATACACTACAAACATGGTGATTCGTTTATACACTACAAACATGGTGATTTGTTTATACACTACAAACATGGTGATTCGTTTATACACTACAAACATGTTGATTCGTTTATACACTACAAGCATGTTGATTCCTTTATACACTACAAGCATGGTGATTCCTTTATACACTACAAACATGGTGATTCGTTTATACACTACAAACATGGTGATTCGTTTATACACTACACACATGTTGATTCGTTCATACACTACAAACATGGTGATTCGTTTATCCACTACAAACATGGTGATTCGTTTATACACTACAAACATGGTGATTCGTTTATACACTACAAGCATGGTGATTCGTTTATACACTACAAACATGGTGATTCGTTTATACACTACAAACATGTTGATTCGTTTATACACTGCACACATGTTGATTCGTTTATACGCTACAAACATGTTGATTCGTTTACACACTGCAAACATGGTGATTCGTTCTTACCCTACACACATGTTGATTCGTTTATACACTACAAACATGTTGATTCGTTTATACACTACAAGCATGTTGACTCCTTTATACACTACAAGCATGTTGATTCCTTTATACACTACAGACATGGTGAATCGTTTATACACTACAAACATGGTGATTCGTTTATACACTACACACATGTTCATTCGTTTATACGCTACAAACATGTTGATTCGTTTATACACTACAAACATGGTGATTCGTTTATACACTACAAACATGGTGATTCGTTTATACACTACAAACATGGTGATTCGTTTATACACTACAAACATGGTGATTCGTTTATACACTACAAGCATGTTGATTCGTTTATACACTACAAACATCGTGATTCGTTTATACACTACAAGCATGGTGATTCGTTTATACACTACAAACATGGTGATTCGTTTATACACTACAAACATGGTGATTCGTTTATACACTACACACATGTTGATTCGTTTATACACTACAAACATGTTGATTCGTTTATACACTACAAACATGGTGATTCGTTTATACACTACAAACATGTTGATTCGTTTATACACTACAAACATGGTGATTCGTTTATACACTACAAGCATGGTGATTCGTTTATACACTACAAACATGGTGATTCGTTTATACACTACAAACATGGTGATTCGTTTATACACTACAAAAATGGTGATTCGTTTATACACTACAAACATGGTGATTCGTTTATACACTACAAACATGGTGATTCGTTTATACACTACAAACATGGTGATTCGTTTATACACTTCAAACATGGTGATTCGTTTATACACTTCAAACATGGTGATTCGTTTATACACTACAAACATGGTGATTCGTTTATACACTACAAACATGGTGATTCGTTTATACACTACAAACATGGTGATTCGTTTATACACTACAAACATGGTGATTCGTTTATACAGTACAAACATGGTGATTCGTTTATACACTACAAACATGGTGATTCGTTTATACACTACAAACATGTTGATTCCTTTATACACTACAAGCATGTTGATTCCTTTATACACTACAAGCATGTTGATTCCTTTATATACTACAAACATATTGATTCGTTTTGGTGCTACGATGTTGCAATATATCAGATTTACAGAGATTATGGTTTGAAATCATCCCTTTTGTCATGGAGCCTTGTGGCGAGTTGGCTTGTCACTCTGAATCTTTATGCATAGATCTAAATATGAAACAGTTGAGGCGGCTTCACCTATCTCCTTAATTTCATGTTTAGGTGGGTAAATAAGTAGAATGCAAGTGACTATTTCATGGTTATTGAATGATATCAAATCATCGATATACCTGAAGCTTAAGTTAAACTTCTTGGCAAATTAACTTGCTTTAAATTTGCCAACCCAAGAAGAAATTCTGATTCATATGTATAAAATAACAGTTGCGCAATTGGTACCCATGATGATGGCTTCTTCTTGGAGAAATGTTATACCCCCAAATCTCACAAAGATGTTATCAATGAGAAAGTCCAGCATTACATATATTGTTTTCTCGGTAAACTTCAAATGACATTTGCTTTAATTTTCAACAAATTGTCCTGAACCTCTGAAGATAGATATGTAGGTATGTCTGTGTTCACCACGTGTGTTAACAAGTGCCCCATGGATCAAGGAATGAAGATTTGCCTTAAGACAGTCATGTGACACAGTGGTAGACAACGTTGAAAAATATTTGCTTTGACAGAATGGAATTCGGTCCGTTTCTGAGATTGTAAAAATGTATTGGTATGAATTTCGCTTGTCTGAAATAAGTTGTCTGTGCATATCGAGAAAGACCTTCCTTGATATATGAAGGATTATGGTAAATGTTTGAGACAGGGATATGGTGGACAAATCGCCAGTTCAAAAGAGGAATGGACATGTATTCAGGTTTAAGAGTCAAAAAAGAAAAAAAGACGAGGTACTTACATACTTTACGGATCACGAGACTCATTTTTACTTCTGTGCCTTGAGGCAATTCATGTATTCTGTTCGTATCCAACACTATGGTGTTTTGGGGTCCCATTTGACGACAGTTAATTATTCCATTTCTTGTGTACACCACCGTTTTATTGTTGTTTCCTGCTTGTATGTTAAGTTGGTCATCGTCATCGGACGAGTCACAGATGTCCATGGTGAAGCAGAGTACCTACAACACATAGGAAGAGGAAGCATGTAATAGAACAGGGAGGAAGTTCGACCGACAAATTTCAATAACCTGTTGATAGTGATGGACAGTAAAATAACAAATGTGTTTCTTTTAAGAAACAATGAACAAAAAGTATTATGAATAGTGACTGCAGAGAAAAAACAATCCCCCATTGCTGCCTCCTCAGTATCCCAGAAACCTGTATACACCCCACCATACATTCCAGTCTACATCTTCAAACGAGATTCAAATGCTTTGACTCAAATTGGCATCACTGGGAATATAGATGCACTTCCGATTTAATCCCGATGTCTTGTGCTCGAGAGAAAGCATGACATTCCCTCTCTGTTATTATGTGACGCTTCTGGATCGTTATGGCATCACTTCCGGTAACGCCGAGGACGTCTTCTCGTCCTGACCTACTCAGTTATATTCCGGGGTTACATAAGGGGTATGGACAAGGTGTAACTTTGTTGATTTCGCATTGATCACTTTCTCTTTTCCTTCTGTTGTTTCCTCCTCGCCCGTTTTACTGTAGTCCGTCAACCTTGGCATCCGTTTTTAAGCAAATCCTTTCACTTGTGTATGTTCAAGTCTGATATACGCTTTTTGTATTCCCCACAAACTGTTCACAAATTATTTTGTGAGTGTATGACCTTGTAACTGACTTAATATATGTATTTATGTATATCACTGAAGCAGGCCACAGAACCCACTGTTTCAGGTAAACGTTGGCAATCCACTGACAAACATAATTCTGACACTGACATCCCCGGAACAACAAATAGCTACCGCACCTGGCATTACTACATGTATGTAACTGTGTTGTCGTCTGACAAGTCAGATTTGTTCGGGCGATAGTAATCATGACATTCAATAACAACCAAACAGAGTATCAGAGACGGTATTGATCAAAACATTTTCAATCTGCCGAAATACAAATTTTAAGACGAAATTATATCGTATTTAAAAACGAATTCGTCAACGTTTGACTAATATTATTATTATTTTATGAACTGAATAAACATTAAATATATATATACACTGAACAAACATGACTATGAAATATGTATATACACTGAATAAACATGACTATGATATATATATATACATATAAACTGAATGAACATGACTATGAAATATATATATATATACACTGAATAAACATGACTATGAAATATATATATATATATACACCCACACATTGCAACTCTCCTAACAAACAGCATATAAACAAATCAACTCTAGACGTCAGATCCTAGCGACTATCAGCTGTTTTCAGTCTGTCGTATCAAGAGTGTATGTGTGTAGAAGTGGCAACTTAAAGGATATGGAAATAGAAGCAACAAAACCCTTTCCACGTCCATAGGAAATCTCGATTGTACAATTGTGATGAAATCATGAATATATATTTGTTTCAGCAGCATTACAGCTGTATGATGTTGTTTGTAAACAAATCGAGTCTGAACCAGACAATCCGGTGATTGTCACCATGTGATACGATGACAGAGGCTGTGTCCATGAATCACTATGACATAGTGATGATACCGGGTGTTCGCGAAAAGGTGGGCGCATCCTGTCCCACCGGTGGCACCCGTCATAAACATATGCGAAGTTTAGTCAATTGTTTACCCGAAATAATTTGGGAACGTATGGTATAAGTCAAACTAGGGAATTGCATCGGACATCATTTTTGCCACTGATGCGCCAAATTTGGAAATTTCCTCCACATGTCTTCCATAAAGCGTTTTGAAAGCTTGATTGAGGCCTTGGATATTGGAACCCTAATCAATAAGGGTGAGACGGTACGCTTTTACCACTGTACGCTCTTACCACGGTACGGTACGTATTGCGGTACTAGGTCTTCGCTTCGGTCCGTTTCGGTTCGGTATATGAGATAAGATCATAATTCAAAATGGACAATAAGAGCTAAGCCTTACATTATTTAATGACAAGGAAATAATAATCATAATCTTTGCTATTTGGAATGAACAAAACTGTCATTTCATGACCAGATTGAAAAAGTAAAGTATCACTGGAACCTTGGAACTCACAGCTGTGACAAAATAGCAGGTAGCCGAGTATGATTAAAAGTCACTAACATCACATCAGCATGTACTGCAATGAAATCACCACTATGTTCCAGAAAAGTTAACGCTTTAAAATCATGATACACAAATCAGAGGTTGCAGAATGTGACTCTGTTGACGACATATCACAGATAAATACATCAAAGAAATTAACACTACACAGTTGTCATATGACAGTTACTGTTTGTACATGACTGATCACTGTCACTGTTCTAAGTCATTGTCTATCTCTCGTTTCAGGTCTCACTTATCTTCTTAATTTCAAGATCAGATGGGTAAATCAGTGGAATGCAATTGGCTATTTGCAGGTCACTTAAAATCCTAAGCGTTAGCATTCATCAGACAACTATTAGTCAATTAACGTGTGCTTTTTCCTTTCCATAAAATTTGAGACGTAAAGATTATAGAAATAATAAATAACAACAGAACAAGAAAACATGAATAGACGTATAATAGTATATGTAACTCCAGGTTTAGGTGACAATTGACCGCTGTCGGTAGTCTCTATGAAAGGGTGTATACAAGCATCGTATTGAAGGAGTAAACATTTATACACGGTGAACTCCTAGCTACAAACATCTCAACAAACCCCTTTCCATAAAATAGGCCCTCCAGAATACCTACAAATTATTGCGATGTTGATGCTAATATCAGACACAGTAACAAATTCAAAGTATTCGTAGAAAGGCATACAATGTCCATGTGAAAGTGTTGAAATCAGACACTCCACAATTAGCTTCCAAAAATGACCTATTCTAGGGCGTAATCTGACCTTATGATGCAGCTGTAAGGGACTAATATTTTCATTGGCTGATATGTAGACTTGTTGGCCATGGTATGTAATACCGAGCCGACCTGACATAGACAGATGATGCTATGAAGAAGGTCCCAGGCAGACTGGGCGCCGGCCCAATCGTTGAAACTGCACATCGTGTCAAACAGGATGAACCCGTTTAAACCCAGTGAGGGGATTCCCCAAGTGCTGAATTTTTTGCGAATGATGGTGGCGATTTTGTAGCTTGAAACATAAACAATACACATGCTATAAATGTTAACACAATAACAACACAACATGCTATAAATGTTAACACAATAACAACACAACACAACATGCTATAAATGCTAACACAATAACAACACGACACAACATGCTATAAATGTTAACACAATAACAACACAACACAACATGCTATAAATGTTAACACAATAACAACACAACATGCTATAAATGTTAACACAGTAACAACACAACACAACATGCTATAAATGTTAACACAATACCAACACAACATGCTATAAATGTTAACACAATAACAACACAACACAACATGCTATAAATGTTAACACAATAACAACACAACATGCTATAAATGTTAACACAATAACAACACAACACAACATGCTATAAATGTTAACACAATAACAACACAACACGACATGCTATAAATGTTAACACAATAACAACAGAACACGAAATGCTATGAATGTTAACACAATAACAACACAACACAACATGCTATAAATGTTAACACAATAACAACACAATACAACATGCTATAAATGTTAACACAACAACAACACAACACAACATGCTATAAATGTTAACACAATAACAACACAACACGACATGCTATAAATGTTAACACAATAACAACACAACACGAAATGCTATAAATGTTAACACAATAACAACACAACACGACATGCTATAAATGTTAACACAATAACAACACAACACGACATGCTATAAATGTTAACACAATAACAACACGACATGCTATAAATGTTAACACAATAACAACACAACACGACATGCTAACACGTTATAATACAGGCCACACAAAGCCAAGAGAGTCAGTCACCTTACACAGGCGACAGTGATTGACAGCAAGGTACATACTGCGTCGCAGTACTGCGACCATGAAATGTACGTGTAATACGCCACACGTTACTTACAGTATAATGAATGTCCGCTAAGATCCTATTCTGTCCACCCCTTGCTGCTGTGTACACGTCTACCGTCAGTGTCCAACACGGCACGCATGTGATGGCTTTGTGTGACGCTTGACCTGCCACCGATAACCTACCTCGGCTAAATTTTAAATGGATTGAATTACAACACTCCCTGGACTTAACATCTGCAGCCTTGGAGCAAGGCTATATCTGGGTCTCCTGCCTTCGACGGTTGTGTCTGAGCCGCTGAGTGGAGGAGGGGACGGTATAGACAACTTTTAGAGGATATTACACACAGAGCCTGTCAACAAAAGTAACAACGGTACGTGCGTCATGTCTAGCCTGTTTTTTATCGATGGCACGGTGACATTTGACCTTTAGTTACCAGCTTCTTCCGGGAGTACTTCAATAAGAGAAATTGTGTGAGAAGTTTTTAGTTGTCTCCCTCGAATTTTTGCAGGCGTCCCCCTTCCGTGTTTACAAGGTAGGGGTCAAGGCCGTCCTGTACGGCTTAAAATGGAGTGCCAGGATGACCTCATATTGAGATACCAGCTTATTAATTTCTAACTGTGATGTTTAAACTGTGAATGTCTGAAAGTAGTCTGTCTCACAGGCCATGAACAACATTATTTCCCCTACTGCCTAGCCCTCCCTGCAATAAATGAAGCAAGTTTAGATTTCCTCAGGTTCTGAATTTCACATCTCACTAGGGCTCCTTTTCAGTTCAAATCGATTTATTTGTTACCATTAACATTATATATATTCACAGACTAAGCTTTAGTCTAGTCTGAGAGAGGAGACATTGAATACACAATACCACGAGGAAAACCGTCTAATATAGTCACGTAGACATAACCCCATAATATACTCAGCAGCAAAAAACCGTCAGTACGAATTCAAAATTAGATAGGCACTGTAATCAAATCACTACAGAAATAGACATAATAAGCCGATCGAAAACATTTTGTGTACAATATCTTGACACATCAATGAATAAGCACAATTCCAAGACATTACGTGAACGTTTGCAGTCCATTCAGACTCTTGACTTCAGTATCTAGTGTGACCACCACGAGCGGCAATAACTGCAGCACAGCATCTATGCATGGAGTGCACCAATCGACTGATGAATGCCATTTGCCTGGAACCACACTCTGAGAAAGGCCTGGCGCAATAAATCGGCTGTGTTCAGCCTTGGTATGACATTATTCAGTCTCCTCTGAATTTCATCCCAAAGATGTTCAACTGGGTTTAAATCAGGACTAAGGGCTGGCCACTGCACAATGTTGACACCGTTCTGCTGTAGGAAGTCCCGTGTAGCTCTGGCAGTATGGGCCCGGGCGTTATCATGCTGGAAAATATTGTTCTGGTGACGTGCGAAATGTAGTAGATAGATAGATAGATAATCTTTATTTCCTCCGAAGTCGAAGATACAGCAGGTTGTTACATAGGTTATATATATATATATATATATATATATATATATATATGTATTTACAGGTTACAGAGTGTGATAATCAAAATAAGAATAGGTATTTTAGTTGATGTAGCCAAGGTTTTAGAGAGCTTGCGATAAGTTTTATACATTTAAACCACATTTCTTGTTCAAGCTCTTGAGCATATACATTTGGTAGACCACCGAGCATTAATGAGACAAATAGGTCTTCATCATTCCATAAACTGACAAAAGTGTCAACATCTAGCATGTCAACTAGTGACTCAATCAAAGCGTTTCTACTACTTTGTATGAGAGTATACAGTGTAGAAATACATGTTTTACAATATCATAGGCAACTATGCCACATTCACAGTCAAGAGACTGAATGCTCAGTGTGCTGATACGTAAAAGAGCAGCAATATTATTGAAACACTCTGGCATTTTATAACATGCAGATCATAGTCTGTGAACATTTTTAGGATATCTTATAGTCTGATATTTTTCAAGGTTAAGTCTCAACCTCGTTACAGAAGCAACATATGTATCCTCAGCTTTAAGTATTCTTTCTTTACCCAGTACATACCACTCAGCCTTCGTTAAGAAGGAAGATTGGTTTACATAGTTGTATAACTGCATATCTAGGTCATACATTATGACAAGATTGAGCATGTGGAAGATTGGCGATGACTTGCTGTATCGCTCTTTCTCCAGTGATGAGGTCTGTCTGTACTGACAGAGTCTATGCACAAGCACTTTCTTAAAGACAAATTCAGTATCGCTGTTACATAGTTTACCGAGAAATAGCAAGGACTTCTAGTGCATATATCTTCGTAGTGTGACCAGGGCGAGACTGTCTCTGGCTATTGTGGATTATCGACGTTTTGAAAGGCCTTGGATACTCTTACAAAACTGGCTTTGTACAGTTTCCAGCATATCATTTTCCTGTTCAGGTAAACGGGCCCATACATTACAAGAGTGCACACCGCATGGCAGAATAACTCTTTCCCAAATACGGACACTACAAAGTGGGTTAAGGCCACCAAAACACAGCCCACGGTTCTTTAAAGAGCATTAAAGAGTATCCTAAGCCTTTCACATACAAACTGCGTACGTTCTATGGTTTTACCGGATGAATAGATTTGGAGTCAACATACTGTGACGTAAGTCGTTTATATATAGAGTGAAGAGCCAAACTGATAAAACACGACCCTGACCTACACCCTGTTTTACATCGAATACTTTAGAAATACAGCTACCAGTGCTAACACATGATTTCATTGGTGTGTGCATAGTGTATATAAGTCGCCACAGTTTACCTCGAATTCCGAAATTGTAAAGCTTACAGACCATTCTTAGCCAATATGCATGAGCTCGAGGTCAAATCGAAAGCGAGGCTTAAATAGGTTGACCCAACCTTGAAAATGGCGACCTCGAAAAGGAAAGATTACTGCTGTGTGCCTTTGCGTTGGAGTGATGCCCGTAAGGATTTTACGGTATCTTTTCACCATATTTCGAAGAATAAGATCAGAAGAAGGCAGTGGTTGACGAAAATACGGAGAGATCCTGGAAAATGATTCATAGTAAGTACAAAATAATTACGGCACATGGCATAGTCTAGATCTGCCGTGTAATGTACAAACTGTTCACTATGCAAGGTTTTAATATCAGGGGCACATGTACAATGTGAATGTCACACACACACAGACACATTCAAACCCCACCCCACCCCCCACACATTGTCATGTTCAAAATCAGTGATCACCCCTAGTTCATATGTACACAATTGACCCCTCCCCCTGCCTCCCAAAACAAACTGGGAGACACCCCAACCCCCAAACACCGCACCTAAAATCATCATCACCCCTTAGTCATAAATTATGAACGGTCCAATATATTAAAAAAAATTAAGCATATGGACATGTGCAGACACTCTTGTCATGATGGCATGGGAATTTTATTTGCAAATATTCTGTATCCGTGAAATTTGATTGGCTGCAAATCAAAGTAACATTTCAAGTACATATACATGTATATATGCAGGACATACACATGCTGTTAAAAAAATCTTAAATATGTATCTACTTTCAAAATTACTGCATACTGACCAGTACTTCAGGGATACAGGACATATTACTGGACAATCTAATTACACCAACTGAAATATATTTAGAGTTTAAATATCCATTTCAGATGCTGCTTATTAAGAGTCAGAGAGCATGTCACCAGCTCAGGAACATCCCATAAGGAATCTACCACAGTCACCAGCTCAGATACAGTAAGAATGTCAGATCGTATTAAGTTAATATTGCCAACTGACATGGTTTTGAAGAATTTAATACAACTGAACTTTGACCTATATGCTATGTTATTTACATATAAAAATATTGATTGCCCATACTGTCTAAAATATGAAATGATGTTAGCCTCTATTCCTTGATGTATATTTGTAATTCCAGAGATATATTTATTGTTTGTGTGGTCGAAGAGATAATACTGATGCTTTACAATGCTTATATTACAGTGAAGCAGAGAGTGATACAGCAGCCACTGACCCCTAGTCCTACATAGAACAACTCCATCAAACATTACATGAACAGGGGAGGCAACTCAAGGAAAAGGTTGACAAAATAGAAAAATTGAACAGAAAACTTGAACTTGGAAAGTTTGGAGTTTGTAAATTCATGTATGATGATAAAAATTGATTGAACATTTTACAGTATTCCATCATTTCAAACATTGGCACTGATTAGCTGGAACTTTTTCATTTGTTCGATATCTTCCCAGGTTTTGTGAAGTACCTTGCCCAAACAGCACAAAAATTGACAGACATGAATGTAAATGAAATTGGTTGGTGCTTTTGTGTTGTGTAAATGATGGATGAAAAAAGAGACAGCTGTAATACATACACACTGATGGATTTAACTGAATAATAGAAAGGTCTTTCATAATGGCATAGTTGTAGATGTAACTCATTTGTTGCTGTTAAATTAATAATTGATGAAAAAGAATGTATTTCATCCTGTTTGAAAAGCGTTAGTTGGGAATCAGAAAAAAACATCATTCATAGGTAAGAGATTATGATAATGTGTAAGGGGAGAAAACTATGATAAATTATGCATTGATCCAGCTGTAATTGTTGCCATTTATGTCAGACTAATCTAAAAGGATACTTCTATCAACATAAATATTGCACCCAATATATTTTAAATTTGCATCCTCTGAAAATTTTATTGTTATTCATCAGTATTACAGTTGGAAGCTATTGTGAATATGTCTATTGTTATTGGACTTTTAAGACACCATTTCAAAATAAATTTTTATTAACTGCACTCCAGGTGTTCGATATTTATTTGGGTTAATTGTTCGCTGTAGTGTGAATCCTGTTATGTTAATCTTATAATATGTTCTCCTTAAAAATGTCTTCAGTTACAGTGGAACAGAATAAATACACCTGATCTACAATAAATCAATTTTATGGTATAGTAACACAGTATTGAAAATTGGTTCAAATATTCCCCATGCAGGTACCACTTGTCCATTTAGGTAAATTAATTATTCACCTCCAAATCAGTCAAGAAAAAACTTGAAAAAAATCATCGAGTTTTGTCTTGCACATTGTGTCCCACCAGAGACCATATAATAGATATGGTCTCTGGTCCCACTCATGTTGAGTGAAATAAATAGTTTCTACATGATGTT